GTTGTTTGGTGTTTTAGAAGAAACTTTCTTTAGTTTTTTTATAGTGATGCCATGGAGTCAGTGAGGTGTGTGTTCTTACTGATCCAATTACTCAAATCTGATTACTTTATGTATCATGTTGCTTTTGTTAGTTTGATTATTTGTGCGGTTGGAATCTTTCTATGATGCGATTTTGTGGTTTGTCAGTCTGCACTTCTAGGGGTTCATCCCCAGCCCAAGTACGCGCATCGCTCATGGCTTCCCATCTTTTTGGGTGGGCATCTCATGGGGCTTTTAGAAATCTTTATTGTTAATCAAGCCCATCCAACTGTAGTCTCTTTATTGTAGTCTTGGTAGCTTTTCGTCTTAGAAGGATTGATATTACGACGAAGATGTCTCCAAGAAATTTCATTACAATTTCTTTGTAATTCGTAGTTGTAGGATTTACTTCGTAATTTCTTGGATCATGAATCTTAAGCAGTGTGCCTGCAATGGTTACCATTATTAATAAAATTACAAGTGCTTCTAAAAGAGGGCCTGTTGGTGCAAAAATGGGCCTGATAGAAAAACCTAAGCACATTTTCTTGCAGCACATAGAAAACTCACCCATTCTACTTCTCATATCCTACGACTCTCTCTCTCTCTCTGTCTGTCTCTCTCATCTTCACGAATCCATCCCCCACCTCCGCTTTGACCTCCTCTCTAGCTTCAATAGCCCCATCCCACGATCCCACTTAAACATGGTGACGAGCCTACCTTGTGCCATCCATCCGACGAGCCTACCCTACGGCAACCCTCCGATGATCCTACCGTCTGTTGCCCCCTATGAACGCCATTGTGCCCATTTGCGCCACTGGTGAGCCTCCTTGGCACTATCCGGGGCGGGAGATGCTGACTCTTCTCCCCATTTTTCGGGATTGCATAGTCAAACTTGTCAGCAAATAGCAAGTGGAGCTCATGGGAGACGGTGGTATGTCATGCAATGATCGACCTACGAGCTCGATCTATGGGCTTTGCTTTTTTAGTCTTTTCATGGTCACCATTGCGGGTAGTAGGCCCGTCAGTTGTGGCTTTAGGTTCCAATGGCATTTTGTTACTAACAGGCGATCAAACCTATTAGTACGATGTTTTAGTGACAGTCAATACCTAATCATTCTATAGTAGTAGTATCATCGAAAAAGTCAAGTGTAACGGAGTGCACACTTACATGGGGAAAATGACGACATGATCCTTTTTATGGATCTTGATTTGGCTAATTGGGAAATATCACACTACTAGGAAAAGGGCTATAAATGGGATGAACACTAATGGCGCACTGTACATGTGGTGCGTCATTACTAAATACTAATGGCGCACCATGTGTTGTACTAACTCGGATGAAAAAGTTTTTTTATATGAAAAATCATCTACTCGAAAAGTTACATCCAAATTTAACGGGGGAACCCCGTTAAACATTTTCAAAATCCTTAAAAACCAAACAGAAAAAAAGTTACGGGTCTTTTAAGATCTGGAGAGGCAAAAAAATTCAAAAAAATTCAAACTTACTAATGGTGCACCTGTCCATGGTGCGCCATTAGTATCTTCCCGCCTTCAAAATTCAAAATAAATCAAATAAATAAATAAAAGTTACTAATGGTGCACCTGCCCGTGGTGCGCCATTAGTATTTTCCCGCCTTCAAAATTCAAAATAAATCAAAAAAATAAAATAAAGTTCCTAATGGCGCACCTGCCCGCGGTGCGCTATTAGTATGCCGTATATATGGCTGGGCGTGTCCTCTCCTCCTTACCTCTTCATTCTTCTCCTCCACTCCACCTCTCCTCCACTCCACCTCTCCTCCACCTCACCTCTCCTCCACTCCTCCACTCCATCTTCCCTTCTCTCCTCCACCATACTACCCTTCTCCTCTCCGGCGACCTCCTCCTCCTCCTCTCCGGCGACCTCCTCCTCCTCTCCGGCGACCTCCTCCTCCCTCCTCTCCGGTGAGTTCCTCCTCCCTCCTCTCCTCCCATCCCGTCATGGTTTCTCCTTCCTCCTCTCCGATGCTCCGGTGAACTCCTCTCCGGCGACCTCGTCCTCCTCTCCGGCGATGCTGCGGTCACCTCCTCCTCCTCCTCTCCGGTAAACTCCTCTACGGCGAACTCCTCTCCGGCAAAAGAACACGGCAAAAGAACGTACAGGATCCAAAAACGGGAACAAAATTTGAAATAATATCGTGCAAAAAAACGAGCAAAAAAACGAGCAAAAAAAACGAGCAAAAAATGGGCAAAAAAATCGCGATCCAGATCCAAATTCAAAATTCAAAAATAGCAATGGCGCACGGTGGGGGTTAGACGGTGCGCCACTACTATTTTCCCGCCTTCAAAATTCAAAAATACTAATGGCGCACCGTGGCCTATACTAATGGCGCACTACATGGTGCGCCATTAGAACACCAGATACTAATGGCGCACCAGTGGTGCGCCATTAGAATTTAATTCTAATGGCGTGATGCTAGTGGCGCACTAGTAGTGCGCCATTAGAAGGCAAAACTGGTGCGCCACTAGCATATGCCTTTTCCTAGTAGTGTCAGGCTAATCATGTGCGTGTTTGAGCACCCTTTGGTTTGAAGATTAACTTCCATAAGAGCTAGTTGTATTGTTTTGGAAAAGATAAGGAGTTGGGCTCGAGTACACGCAACCTTTTGCGTGTGTGGTGAGTTCTTACCCCTTTGAGTACCTTGGTACTATGATAAACTGCCGCCAGCTTTGTAATCAAAACTAGAAGGTTATAGAAGATCGCTTTGAGTGTCTTAGTATAGGGTATCACAAGAGTCTTTCCTATCAAAGGTGTTTGGTCTTGATTAATTTTGTGATAAGTACTGGCCCCATCCTATATTACGATAAGTTTTCAAGAGAACCCAAGGATGGTCTAGGAGAGGCTAGGCTACTATCGATCTCAATTATTTTGGCATTGGATCAATATATGAAAGGGTATCTTTTAGCATGGTCGCAAATTTCATGTCTTGAAGGAAAAAATCCTACTCGGGATCCCAACTATAGTCCTACACGGCTAGTCCACAAAAGTCCAAATCAATCAACAAGGTCCAAGGTGGTCAATAAAAGTCCAGTCAAATTGTCATGGTGAACAAATCAAAGGAGAAGGAAAAAAATAGACGACATCAACAATATAGGCAAGATGCAAAGAAGTTCAGGTCTAGTTGAGGCCCAACTAGCAAATTAAAGTCCCACTCATGCATGGATGAAAGGGAATGACGCACCATGGAATGTGGACACCTTCAACTTTGACTAGTCTCTCATGGCCTCATGGACCTAGACTTACAACTGTACCTCTCCAACCAATCACCACCATGGATAGTTTTGGTCATTTGTCAAGGTACCCTCTCCTCTATAAGGCCCCTCGTGGGATGTACTCTCATTCAC